ATATAACATTTCCCTCTGTCTCTCTCTTTTGCTTTGAATTAGCAAAGACAATTACTGATGTTAAAGAGTTGGTACAACTTTAGACTTCAAACATAAATGTACGTCTTGAAATAAGGAAAGGGACAATTTCACTGCACTTTACGTTCAGACCATAACTGCAGAATTAAATATGGAAACAAGATCAGAACACAAATAGCACTGACAAAACTGAATGAATCCAGTTGAGAGACATGAGGATGGCAATGGAAGCCATATGAAGCTGCAGGTGTTGTAACATTTAGACAAAAGAAAGTCTAGCTAATATATTGAGAAAAACCTTACTCCATCTTACTCCTAAAGACGAATTGCAACCAGTGAGAAGAAGTTATATAGTAAAAGCAGCTACTAGCTCAATTTAAGTAAGATCTTCCTCTTACACTTTTTGAAAGCTGAACAGGGTTTCCTATGTCTAGGGAAGGGTTATGGAGAAGTTGGATCCAATAACATCTCAGAGTAGTGAGTGGCTCATTGTAGGAGCTGACTTCTAAAGTTCCCTTCAATTCTAAAAGTTTATGAACCAGAGTAAGGAAATAAATGGTACCCTTTTACTTACTAAAAAAGATGAGTAGAAAGAATTTTGGCTTTAGCCAAAAAGACACAGGTTCAGTTATAGACTCTATCACTTAGTCATGTGTGACACAGAGGCAAAGTTATTCACTAACTCTATGCCTCAAATTTTCTCAATGTGTAAAAATAATACCTTAATTTAGAAGTCTGATGCATAAATTAAATATACACATACCACACACACATATATACTTCCTGGCACTTAGGAGACATTTAATATATAGTAGGTATTATTCAACTATTCAATAAACATTGTGTTTCAAAGGATAATATTTTCCAGATCATTTATTAATTACTGATATACTATAAAATGACTTGTTCTCTTCTATGTCTCAATTGTTTTTCAGACCTAAACAATGCATGCCTGAGATTCTTTTCCACTTCCACACTTTACGCAATCCCTGTTTGTATGGAAGTAAATTTTATGAGATTTTTTTCTTTAATTTGCTTTTGCTTTTCCACCTTTATTTAGTATAAAAGTAGGCTTTACCAGTAACATACGTTGGCTATGTCACTGGCTTTGGCTAAAACATTTCAGCTAAACTGGACAATATATCCAGTTTAATCAACCACACTACCGGACAGATGTTTTTTATCTCTCATAATGGCTAACTCATCACTGAACAATCCTTCATGAAATATGTGAGTAAATAAATCAAAACCTAGGGTATTCGAATAAAAATTTTGGTTGTTGATGAAATAAAGATGGTCTGATACTTCTTTCCATCAAGAGTATCCCATTTCTTAATGAAACAGTTCAACACTGAATGCTCCAGTCGATATTATCTACTCACTAAGCATTTTTCAAATGGCATGTAACTGCTCTTTTGTCACACTCCCAGAATAATCTGCAACTGTACAGATATTTTAGTTGGCAATTAAATATGTTGTCTGTTAGATACACAGTTGAAGAGTACACTGCTTAACATACCACTGTTCAAGACAGATGAGAAAGAAGTCTTTACATATTAATTAGTAAAGAAAAAATATTTTTCAGAAATACAATTTTGTGAAATAAAAATCATTTTGACAAAACAGCTTAAGCACGTACAATATTTAGTACCAGATAAGCATTATCTGACTGCAACCAGATACAACAATAAAACAAGTTCTTTTTTCAGCAGATAAAAAAGAGCAAGAAATTCATACTTAGAACAAATCAAACAAATCACGAAGCACAGAATTTTAAAAAGTACCATAATAGGATTAATATGCAGAACGTATGCTAAAGTTTATAGTAAAAAAAAAAATTCACTATCTCATGTTAAAATAGGGAACAGGCAGATTATTTACATACAAAATAATCTCAGAACACAATGAAATTTACCAATAAAATACGTTTAAAGCATGATTGCATATAATTCCACACACTGAAATTTAGTTACAGATGTTTAAAGCTGAAATTTAATATAAACAATATATCCTTTAAAAAGGTCTATTAAAATGCAATGTAAGATGAAACGATTAAAATTATAAGGCAAGATAAAAAGCACTTTATGGTAAAATCAACCCAATAAGAAACATAAAGTTAATACATCTTAAAAGTTAAATTCTAAGTTGAAAGTAATCACTAAAAATCCGTTAATGATCACAGCTCATTAATTGTAACAAAATAAACATTATAGGTTCTTGTTATGCAGAAATTTTATTTTCAACACTGTCTATAGAGTTGATCATCATACTACTATAGAATACTAATGAATTTCAAGAAATAATATTAAAATACAGCTACTATTAAGTAGTAAGGAAAACACTGCAACGGTTTGTTAAAAGCACATGTTAGGACATCTTTCCTCATTTAGTAAGTTACTTTATAAAACTAAAGGTCCATTTCAGGAGAATTCCTACTTTTACATGACAAAGGCAAGAACTAGATAAATACAACGGTGAGAATCAAGTTCATGGGCAGTCACAGCATACTCAAGGAGCACGTAGGGAAGCTTTCTCTACATTTTCGCAGGTCAAAGGGCCAGGGGGACACAGGAAAGATCACTCTTCAGTGGAATGGACCTTCAGTTTCATTTGGCTCTGCCTTACAGGAGCAGTTTGGCTTGGGCAGACAAGTCAGTTAACTTTCCGTGTTTGAGTGTTTTCCTCTGTCAAGTGCGCTTAGGCTCTTCTGTGTTATCTCCAAAGTTAGGAAGAACTAAAGGCAACCCTAGTTTTACTTTTTAAAAATAATGACAGAAAAATACATAACTTGCTATTCATCAATGCACTGTTTCCAGGGCTGAATTCCTAAGTCTCTGAAGCATATTCAGCTCGGGATATACCAGTGAAGATCCAGATACTATAGTCACAATGTAACTCTCTCACCTCACATTATTCCTCCACCTGCTCCTCCCCATCCTGCTTTATTTTCTCTTCTGGTGTGTTTCAAGTAGCAACGCCAGCAAACGGCCATATGCATTTGTAAGCTTAAGGAGGAAATCATTTTAAAGGATGCATTTTCAATCAAATGTATCATCCACTTCGCCAAATTCCTCCTCAATGTCTGAATTTCCATTAAGAGAATAAAAATGAGTTAACTTTGGAAACAGATTTATACGGGGCCAGTTGTTTCGTTTGTTTTACTTGCTTAAAAAATAAAACAGCAAGATGTGTCTATTCCCTCAGGAACATAAATGCATTACCCGCCCAATGAGAAAACAATTCTGCTGGTTCATTTCCCTGACACAACAGCTTCGTTGTCAGGCCCTTTCTAGCCCAGGCTCCAACGTCATCTAGTAATTTTATATTGATCACCTTGGCAGTACTTGGACTCCAGCAGACATAGTCTGTCTTCCTTGCATTCCTCAAAAAAATGAAATAAAATAAAACTCTACGAAACACCACTGAACAGAGATTCTGTGACTTCGAATCCAATCTCCACGTCTTCCCGCCCTGTGTTAGGCAGCTGCAAATGTTATTTTTTTTCTCGCTTGCATAAAATGGAAGCGAACCGTACCCAGACCCTATATTTGAATCCTAGGACAATGAAGCCGACAGGAAGCCACTCTCTCCTCCCCCAGGTTTACTACGGGGCCAGAGCCTCCGCGGGGTGCAGTCGCCTGGCACGGTGCATGACACCGCGTCTTCCACGCCCTCCCGACGCGTCCGAAAGGCTCCTCGCCTGACCTCGCCAACCGCCTCACACCCCAAAACCAGCCACACAAAAGGGATCGGCCCCGGGAGCTGCTCCAATCGGGGAGAAATCCCTTCCCCAGCGGCCGCGCAGCCATTCCCTCCAATGCTCCGCCCGCACCCCTAGCAAACTGCTACGGCGGAGGGGGGAGGGCTGCACAAAGCCAGGCGAAAGCTGAAAATGATTCAACGCACTGAGGAGACGCCGAGGCGGCGGGCAAGGGCTCGGGAAAGCCGGGGGCCCGCAGGACTGGAGCTCCCGGGGGCGGCGGGTGGGGGATGGGAGGAGTGGCCCTGTCAAGCCCCCCGGTCCCGGGCCGGGAGAGGGTGGGGGTGGCGGCGCCGCGCGGAGCATCCGGGAAGCGCCCCCTTCGCGGTCCAGCCCCGCAGCCCCGCACCCCCGCCCCGTGGCGGGCCGCGCCCGAGTCCTCGCCGCAAACCAGAGAAGCAGGATGTGGAAAAGCAGCCGCGGAGGCAGCGGCGCCCACACCGAGCAGCCGATCGCATCACTTACCCCTCACCGTGGAGAGAGGGACCGGACGGGGGAGGCGGGGCGCGTCGCGTCCCGTGAGTCTCTCGCACGCCGTCCTCCCCCGACCTCGTCGTCGTCGTCGCCGCTGTTGTCGTCGCTGTCGCTGCCGCTGCGGTCGAGCTCCGGGGCCCTCAGCTCCGCCGGGCAATAACGTTATTCCACACACGCCCCACACATAGCGGTAACGGCAAAGAGCGGCTGCCTAGTGCGCAGGCGCCTCGGGAAATGGCGAGGAGCCGGACCCGATCCCCTCCTCCTGCCCAGTTCCAGCGATCCCTTACTGCGCAGGCGCCAGACACAGACAATGAAAAGGGGTTGTGCGAGGGTCTCACCCACTCGCTTTTCCAGCTTGGCCACTGCGCAGGCGTGCCCCAAGAGACCAGCTTAAACAATGAAGAGGACCTTGGCTTTAGGTGGGACCGCAACCAACGAGGACTACAGTTCCCAGTGGGCAGAGCGCCAACTCCAAGTGGAGGTCCGGTTGCTGGGCATGCTAGGAGTTGTAGTGTCGGCCGCCTTTACAATCTAGGCTGTTTGGAAGATTTTAGAGTTTCTATTTCTTGAGGATTTATTCGACCATTTTGAAAAATATCGCAACTGAAGCAGGGTTCAGAGCTTACTATCTGAGTCCTAGAGTAGACTTAGGGATCAACTGCTGCATGTTAGCAAATTTCCAAGCGTCAAGGCCTTCAGTGAGCCCTTTCTGACATTTGGGTGGTCCAGGCAGCTGAAGGATGGGATGGAGGCGGGACTAAACCAGGCTGGGCTGCAGGAAAAAGGGCGGGGCCTGGAAACCTGTCTCTTGGCAACAGGCTGTGGCCGCCAAACCGTCCAAGCTAGAGCCTGTGGCGCGGTGGTCTCTGGGAATTGTAGTGTAGCTGGAAGGCTCTCAGAATTGTCAAGCTTGCAGGCTCTGCACCTGAGGACTACAACTCCCGACGTCCACCGGGAGGGCCAGTGGGTGGGAATAGCCCCCAAGAGCTCCGTGCGGGATTCTAGGCTCCCCTGTGACAGCCGCGGCAGGAAGGGGGCGGGCGCTCCCCGGCCACGGGCCTGTTGTTCTCGGAAGCGAGAAAGCTGGACATTTCCCCCCGTAACTCCCAGCTCTGGGCCTAGAGTGTGCATGGCGAAGTCCCCGGAGAACTCTACCCTGGAGGAGATTCTGGGGCAGTATCAACGGAGTCTCCGGGGTGAGTTGCTCCAAACCTCTGTTCCTAGCCCCGAGGTGCCCGGGGCCTAGAGGGCGGGAGCAGACCAGGTGCGTTTCCTAACACCTGCGTTCTGCCCCAGCTAGGCTACAGAGGAGCGAGATGGGTGTTGCTGTGATCTTTTGAGGAGGATGAAATAGTTTGAGTTTGTTTCTACAGTTAAGCAACGTTGTTTCCTTAGATTCCCGTAGTTACCTGAACCAACTCCTTGATCTTAACTTGGGCATGTTTCTCAACCAGCGACGGCAGAAACTCTTGGATGGCTCTATGTCACTTTTGCCCAGTTTCCATACTTTGCTGTTTAATCCAGTAAAAGTCAGATTCACAGTTTTTACACATTTAAAGTATGGCGTAGTGGATTGAATGTGATTTGTAGGATCAGTGTGTGTGTGTGTGTGTTGGGGACACTAATTATTTAAATCACTACAGCCCCCATTTAATTGTTCTAGGCTATTTGCATGCAATTAATCATTTGCAGCTGAACATATCTATTTTACACATGGGGAAATCGAAAGCTCAGAGAGGTTGAATGACAGGCTCGAGCCCACACAGCTAGTTAGTTGCAGCGTCAGGTATTATCAGGCTTGTCTGCCTTCAAAGCTTAGGTTTGTCTTTACTAATCAAGCCGTAATTACTATTATCAAAACCTTTTTAATTCAGATTTTCTTACTACATTACCGTATGAGCAAGTATCTGTACAAGTAATGTCTGTACTTTATTTCCCTTTCAGCTCTGTTGGACTTAATAATGTCTGTACTTTTAGATGGCACTGTTACCTTGGACAGCATATATAACATCTAGAAATTTCGATTCTGTTATAATGGAAGTTATGGAATTGTCCACAGCGTTACTGTGGGGAGCAAATGAAGTAATGAAATAATCCCCATGAAGCAGTAATTTTAAGACTTCTTAAAATGTTTACCTATAGTAAGAAATTTTGGCCGGGCGTGGTGGCTCAAGCCTGTAAACCCAGCACTTTGGGAGGCTGACGCGGGTGGATCACGAGGTCAAGAGATCCAGACCATCCTGGCCAACATGGTGAAACTGGCGTGCGCCTGTACGCCCAGCTACTCTGGAGGCTGAGGCAGGAGAATTGCTTGAAACTGGGAGACGGAGGTTGCAGTGAGCCGAGATTGTGCCACTGCACTCCAGCCTGGCGACAGAGTGAGACTCGGTCTCAAAAACAAAAAAAAAGAAATTTTATATGTGACACATATGTACATATAAACTGTTTCACTGAAGCATTTTTATTCTAAGTGTAATAAACTCTGTTTTCCATTCTATTGCATTTTCATAACCCTCTAGGTCATGGCTATTTACGACATTTAGAACGCTTAAGTTTTGCAACATATGGTGTACTTCATAATATGCCTACTATGTGTCAGTGCCTACTATATGTCAGTGCCTACTATGTGTTAAGCATATCAGGTGCTCCACATGCCGTAAGGAACAAGACAAAGTTCCTATTGCCATGGAGTCTCTAGATTAGTTGGGGAGAAAGACAATAAAAAAAAATTATAGATTACTATGTTAGAAAATAAGGGTAGAGATCAGTGCTTAGTAGACAAGCCCTCATTAAATGTTGTTATTTATACTTGATACTTAGAGCAAAGTGAAGGTTTTTAAATATCAGAAAGTTTATATTCTCATCACTCTAGATTTTATAAGGGTTATTATGGATTGTTATGTCTGTCAATTGTGTTACAAACTGACATTCTCAGTATTCACACTGCAGGAGTAAAAAAAATTGGTCTTAACACCTTCCTCAACCTACTAATGTTTCAAGAGCTGTTAGATACGAAATAAGGACTTTTAACTTTTCATTTGGAAGCAAGAAAAATATGCACAATGGTATGAGTAATTTTGGGCAATTTTTTGTTTTCATTGAAAGTTTTTCCTGATGCTTCTCTGCCTTTGACCTTATTTTAAGCCTTTATGTAATTGTTGGAGGCTATTTATCATTAGGCATTTTTACGTAATAAAGGGGTTCATTTTAAATTAATGTTATAGTAATACATTTAATACTAGTGGTACTGCTTTCAATAATTACAGAATGAAGAGTTTTCATTCAAGGATAATACGTTTTTTAGTTTGAAATAAAATTTAAATTTAGTTTCATAACAGTATAAGGTAGTGGAGACATTTCACCAAGAGCAAATACAAGGGATAGAAAAAGTTAAACAACTTTAAAAAAAATGTGGTCATAATTTTAACATTGAATCAAGAAGTGTAGCCTGAAATGTGTATGGGTTTTTCACAACATATTATTTATTTAGTAGCAATTTTATTTTTGTATGTTACCTTATATAACAACTTCTGGAAGGAAACAAAACTGACTTAACCCTGAACTTAAATACAGTCAGAAGTTCTTCACAAATATAAGTTGCCATTTTTGAGTAGTATAATTTCCTGTGTTTATTTATTTAGAGATGGAGTCTCATCAGGCCAGAGTGCAGTGGGGCCATCTTGGCTCACTGCAGCCTCTCCCTCTCGGGCTTACACAATTCTCCTGCCTCGGCTTCCCGAGTAGCTGGAACTATAGGCCACCATGCCCGGCTAATTTTTGTATTTTTAGTCGAGACTGGATTTCACCATGTTGGCCAGGATGGTCTCAAACTCCTGACCTCGAGTAATTTGCCGCTTCAGCCTTCCAAAGTCTGGGATTGTAGGCATGAGCCACCATGCCCTGCCGATAATGCCCTTTAAAGCTAAATATTGTTTCTTGATTAGCAATGGTGGAGTTATGTGGCAGTTCCTTATTTTGAGTGTGCCTAATAATTTAATAATTGTATTACTATGTAGTAAGATAAAGTACAGTGTAAAGCTCTATGTCTTACTTTGTTTTGATTTTGTCTATCCACCATTATTTCCTCAAAATGTCTTGCCTAGTTTATGATTAATGGAAGCCTAATAAACATTACTTGTTTTTCCTCACCAGTTACTCCTCTGGCTTGTAAATGACGTAGTCAGTGCTAACAACCCCTCATTTATATTTAGCTAGGAAGTAGCCGTATAAAAATGCAAAATGCTTTTCCTGTTTCTGTGATAATATTTCCATTTGAAAAGGATCTTTTCCTCATTTCTTTAATTTTGGTACTATTATGATATTATTATGATATATCAAGATTTTGAAGTTCTAATGGGAAAACCAAATCAGCATTTACTTTCTTGCCTTTTTTTTCTTTATTTTTTTCATTTTTGGAGATTGAGTCTTGTTCTGTCACCAGGCTGGAGTGCAGTGGTGTGATCCCAGCTCATTGCAGCACCCCCCCACCCCCCCTCACCCCCCCACCCCTCATGGGTTCCAGCAATTCCTCTGCCTCAGCCTCTCGAGTAGCTGGGACTGCAGGCGTGTGCCACCACTCCTGGCTAGTTTTTTGTATGTTAGTAGAGATGGGGCTTCACCATGTTGGCCAGGATGGTCGTGCCCTCCTGACCTTGTGATCCACCCACCTCGGCCTCCCAAAATGCTGAGAGTACAGGCGTGAGCCACTGCATCCTGCCACTTTCTTGCTTTTAAAATGAGATCCCTGCCTCTCCTTGACCCTGATGATCTTGGAGCAGCTCCACATTCACCTTTCATCCATCCCCTTACACTTTTCAGTGTATTTGCTGTTTGACTTCTCAAAAGATATCTCTTGCTTTTGGTCACTTATTCCCCTTTACAAGAAATTGGAGATGTTTAACGATTCTTCTTCAAAACAAGAGTTCTGGCAGAAAAAACAGAAGGCTTTGTTGCCCCCCTCACATCTGTTGTATTATTCCTGCATAGTAAAGGGTCTGAAAGTTTTCAGTGTGGTTACAAGTATACATATCCTGGGTATCCTGGGAGCCACAGAGTTTAATCTAGAACTGGAAGTGATTTGGGAGGTCTCTTGGCAGTATGGTTAGGTGTTCATTTACTCTATGGCCGAGAAAGAGTGAGAAAAGCCACAATCACAGGCAATCTAGGCTCTGTTTTAAGTACTGCACACTTGAGTGAAAGGGGATATCAGAAAGGAGAGAACTTGCTAGAAATGTAGTATCCTAGTCTTAATAATGGAATCACATCTCATCTCTTGCTTCAGGGTTGGGAATAGATACAGTTTTATCAACAAAACCTGTATACATGACCTGCTCACCTAATTCCCAGCCACCTTTGGTTGGGTGCGTATAAGGGAAAATGAAACAAACTTCTTGGATGACAGGAACTCGTAATTTCTTTATTACATACATTTTGCATCCTGGTTTTACCCTTTTCTTTCAACATTTTGGTGTTTCGGTCTTCAGATGAATTTATGGGAAGAGTGTGGTGGAGTCAGAGGAGAGAATGTGGACTAGGAGCCATGTCACTGATCTAACTTTGCTTTGCTGATAATCATCTGTGTAACTGTAGGCAAGTTAAGGAAACTGTTCTTGGATTCCTATTTCCTTATCTGTAAAATGAAAAGTTTGGACTGGATGTGAGAATTCCTGCCTTTAGTGCCAAGCAAATGATCAAAAGGTGTGATGGAATCAGTGGAAGACACTAGGGAAATGATGAGACTTATGGCCAAATTGGGCAGTTTCTGTTTTTTTCTTTTTTGAGATGGAGTCTCGCTCCGTTGCCAGGTTGGAGTGCAGTGGCGCAATCTCAGCTCACTGCAAATGTCTTGTCTCAGCCTCCGGACTAGCTGGGATTGCAGGCATGTGTCACCACGCCCAGTTAATTTTTGTATTTGTAGTAGAGACAGGGTTTCACCATGTTGGCCAAGCTGGTCTTGATCTCTTGATCTCATGATCCACCCGCCTTCGGCCTCCTAAAGTCCTGGGATTACAGGCGTGAGCCACCGTACCTGGCCAGTTTCTACTTTTTCTAAAAACATTTTCTTTCTTGCTCCCTCCCTCTTTGCTTCTTTTATTTCTCTCTTTTTCCCTCTTTTCTTCCAAGAAGGAAGCCAAGCAAAACACACCCAGAGCCTGATTCCCCTTTGGACACCACTCTCTGACCCTTGGGTCGTAAA